CCCAGATTTCTACCATTAAAACACAGATTTCTACCATTAAAACACAGATTTCTGCTGTGAAAACACAGATTATTGCCATGAAAACTCAGATACCTGCCACGAAATCCCAGATTTTTACCACGAAAACCCAGATTCCTGCCGTGAAATCCCAGATTTCTGCCATGAAAACCCAGATTTTTACCATGAAATCCCAGATTCCTGCCGTGGTTGATATTCTGTGTGCAGCACCTCCCCTCCCTCCACGCATCAGCTTCTTCTGCATTTGCTAATTCCTGCCCGGCCCCGCTCTAATTCCCAGCGGCACTAATGAGGCTCCCAGCACATCTCCCATCCAGCACTAAATTATATTAACGAAGCATATTTAGAGTATTCTCAAATTGTTTGTCAAAGCTGCTGCTAAAAGATAAGGAACTGAAATCTCTGAATACAAATGACTCAATGTAGACTAATTCCAGGATATGATCGTGATTTACATCAACACAGCCTCGACTCGCATGAGGTCGGATTCAATTTTTCTGAACAAGAGATAAATTGAACCCTTCGTAGGAATAAAAATAAAATGCATTTCAAGGTGATTTTTAAACTTAGTCCGTAAATTATTGGCCTGGAATCTTTATTGTGCATGTTTAACTTGCAGTCATTATGTAAATGCTTGCATTCTATAAATATTCATTACACAGCCCCATTATGTAAATCCAGCAAATCTCCCCACTCAGCGTTACAGGGCTGCGGGTTGTAATCTCCAGATCTGGATTGTTGAAATGTCACCCGAATAAATTGCAGGTATTACTTATTTTGTTCTGACATTTCCCGGCAAAGTGCAGCGTGGATAGTTTAGGGATGGGGGCAGAATGTGAAAAGATGAAATTCTACCCTGGACCCCGCTCCAGCTTCAGCCCTGCTGTGTCCCACCAGAGCCCTGCTGGCAGCAGCACTCAGAAATATTCTGCTTAAATGTTCTTCCTCACCAAAATTCAGGGGCTGCACATGGAAATTCTTGCCCACTTTGGTTTGGACAGAAGTTTCCCACGGGAGGTTCCCCAGGCTGCTCAGGACAGGCAGTGGATTGGAGGTGAAGGAGGAGCAGCCTGGGCAGGAATTGTTCCCTGGCACAGGGAAAAGGTGCCCAGAGCTGCCCCTGGATCCCTGGCAGTGCCCAAGGCCAGGCTGGAGCAGCCTGGGATGGTGGGAGGTGTCCCTGCCATGGAATATTGGAATGAGATGGGATTTAAGATCCCTTCTAGCAAACCATTGCAGGATTCTGGCATCCCTGGTTAGTCCCAGTTTCATATTTTCCAGTTCTTCCCTTTAATTCAATCCCTGCACTCTGATTTCTCTCTGAAGAAATCAGAAAAAACTCCTGATTTACTGACTCCAACATCCCTGCTCTCTTTCCTTTTTCTCACAGTTTTATCTCCATCATTCCTGATCCTCATCAATTTTCCCAAAGCAGGAGGCTGGTCTGGATGTAGGGCTGGACCACATTTGGAGGAGCAGGGTTCCAGGAACTGAATAAAAGCAGATTTTCCCACTTGGGATGGAAGGCAGGTCCTTGGCACGGGGACACTCGGTGTTCCTTCCACCCAGCACCTCAGAACCCTCCTGCTCTTTGAGGGAGGAGCAAAGACGGATTTAAAAAAATCTCCCCAAACCCCGAGGAGCCAACACAGCTCGAGCTCTGTCACAGCCTCGGCTCCTCCTGCCCCGGAGCCTCCCTGGCAGAAAGCAGGAAGGCTTTGCTGGAGTGCAGGAGCTTCAAACCTGGATTTCCCGGCTGCAAATCCTGAGCTGACACGAATTATTATCAGATTTCCAGGGCTTTGCCTGTGTACAAAGGGTGAACTCTTCAGATGCTCCATCTCCTGCTTACAGATGGGTTTAAAGCTGGAATTTGCAGGAAGAAGTTTCTGGCTGGTTTCTTTTTTTCTTGCTGACTCCCAAACAGGGAGCAGATATTTTGGGGAGGGTTTTTTTTCCCCCCCAGCAGTGCAGTTGTGCCCTGTGGGATCTCTGAGCTCTGCTCCCACCTCCCCTTCACACTGAGGGGCTGCTGCAGAAGGATCAGCCTTTGGGAAGGGTCACACTGTGCTTTCCTGGCTCTGCAATTCCAGGGTCAGCTGCCAGGGCCTTCCACAGCCTGGCAGGGACCTCCTTCCTCAAGATGCTTTGGCCCAGGGAGCTCAAACCCAGGATTATTTCCTCCTGGGTCATGGAAATCTTGGAATGTCTGGGTTGGGAGGGATCTCAAATCCCACCCAGTGCCACCCCTGCCATGGCAGGGACACCTCCCACTGTCCCAGGGTGTCCCAACCCCAATGTCCAACCTGGCCTGGGACACTCCAGGGATCCAGGGACAGCCAGAGCTGCTCTGGACGATTCCTTTGGAGGAATCTCTGGTCAGCTGGGAGCCTGGGTGAGCAATGTTCCCTGGAAAACTCCCCAGAGCTGCATCCCCTGGGATGTGGGTGGGCTCAGGTGGGCTCAGGCTCCTCCCCTGAGGTTCGTGGGATGGCTCAGGTGGGCTCAGGCTCCTCCCCTGAGGTTCGTGGGGCGCTGCTGGTGCCTGGGGTGGGTCAGTCCTTCCTGCAGCCACTCCGGGAGCTGAGGGGTTTTATTAACATTTGATCAGAACTTCATGGCTCACTGGTTATGCAGGTAAAGGCAGAGCTGGGCATTAAATCGATGGTCCCTGGGATCAAACACTCGCCAGGAGATCCAGGGAGGTGGTGGGGAGCAAATGAGGGCATTAATTAACAGATTAAAGAGCAAACAGAGCACCCAGTGGAAACTGCTGGGTGGATTCCTCCCTTGGCCTTTGGATCAGTGATAAAATCACTCCCAAAATCTCTTCCCAAACCACAGCTCTCCCTGAAAATGCAGCATCTTTGGGCTCAGGGATGGGAATTTTGACCTTTTCTTTCTCACAGGACTTGCAGGCAGCAGCCTTGGGAGATTTGGGATTAGGATCCAATTAAGGGACCTCAGTGGCAGGAGCCATTGCCCTGCAGCTGGGGCTGGCTGAGGGACACTCCTCACAAAAATCCCATTTTTATCAGAAGCTTGAGCATCCCTTCAGGAACAATTAAAGGTGTTCCTAGAAATCCTCAGGTCTTCTTAAAGTCCTTTTTTAAAAAATATTCTCGTGAAAATACGCTTGTCAGGAGAGGAATGCTCCAGCTAAGGTGGTCAAATAATTGGGGCTTTGTGAAGGAACTGAGGAACAAGAGTGAGATCAAAATCTTAGCGAGATACAAACTAAAACTGCCCAAAAGCACAGAAACGAGCAGGATTCCTTTTCTTTTTTGACAGCTTTATGATAAATGAGAAGCATTTCTTACTTTTCAATAAAGGTAGATGAACTCATTAATAACTCATAGAATGCAATGAAAATGAGAGTTTTAATACGGGCAGAGCTTATTCCCACAGATATCAGCTCATTTTTACTGGAGGAACGATGCACTTTGGAACGAGCAGTGCGTGGCTCTCAGGAGACATCTCAGAGCTTTAATGCTCACCAACCAACCCAACATTTTCCCCTCTTTGCAGAGCCAGCCAAGCCCAGGCTTGTGCAGACACACAAATAATTCACCCCTGGATGGCCGTGACACCACAGCTCTGCCTTGTCCCCGCTGCCCGCTGGGGTTTTTCCCAGAGCTCTGAAGGCCACGGTGATTAACAGCCAATTAAAGGCTTTCAGGCTGGGAAAACACTTCCAGCAAGCCTTTTCAACCCTCGGACCTGCAATTCCCAGCATCTGCGGTCGCGGCTGCCGTGCCGAAGGAATCATTCCATGGAACTTTTTTTGGGGTTGTGATGGGGTGAGCGCCTGGTGAGGGATGCAAACCCGATAATTGTTCCCTGCTCGGAGAGGTGTGGGAGGACAGCAGGGAGCAGCTCCATGTGAGGGACATCAAACATTCCCTGCCCGGTGGGAGCAGCCGGGAAAGGCTGGGAGGGGATTTGGGGAGCAGCCACGGACACCAACATTGCTGTTTGGTTCTGTCCTGTCCCATCAGGGAAATCTCTGTCCTGGAATTGTCCTTATTCCCGTGTGACACCGAAATCCCATCCCTTTATTCCTGTGTGACACCCGGATCCCGTTCCTTTATTCCTGTGTGACACCGAGATCCCGTTCCTTTATTCCTGTGTGACATTGAGATCCCGTTCCTTTATTCCTGTGTGACACCCGGATCCCGT